TTCGCACTTAGCTTTTAGGATCACACATTCCTTAGACAGTTGTTCCTTCTCATTGTTTATGACCTCAGACTCATCAATGAAGTCTAGCGGTAATTCAGATAGCTTTTCTTTAGACAAAAATTTAATCTTGTCATTGAGATGAATCACACTTACCTCTTGTTCATCATCTGATTCTCCAATGGCCCTAAGTGCTTGTTCATCTCCAGCTTCATCTTCTGAATCCTCATCTGAGCTTTCTCCCCAAGCAGTAACCATAGCTTTTGTTGATCCTTTTTTTTCTTGGGTTGAACCTGTTTCTTCGTTTAGCCCTTTCTTTCTTCCATTCAATTTCCCACTGAGGACAATTCTTGATCATGTGGTCAGTCTTACCATATTTGTAGCATCCCTCGTTGGTCTGTTTTTCAGGGGCCCTTAGTTTGTTGAAGGTTGCACCTCTTGAGGAACCCTTTCCTCTCAATAGGTACTTCTTCAAATCCCTGTGATAATAGCCATTTCATCATCCTCTAAGTCTGCACCTTCAACTATTCTGAGAGCAAGGCTTCTTTCCTTCTTGGGTGCATCCATCTTCATGGTTTGCCTTCTCAGTTCATAGCCAGTGAGATTTCCAATCAGCTCATCCAACTTGAGAGTAGCAATGTTCTTTGATTCCTGAATAGCAGTGATTTTGCTTTCCCAAGTTACTGGCAAGACCCTTGTCAAGATTTTCTCAACCTTGTCTTCTTCAAGGATAATTCTTCCAAGAGACTTAAATTCATTTTTTTTGTGTTGTGAACCTTGTGTACATCTCTTGGATGGTTTCACCTTCCATCATGGTAAAATTCTCATATTCAGAATACATTAGCATTCCTCTTGATCTCTTTACTTGAGGACATCCTTCATGGGCCACTTGTAGAGTATCCCAGATCTCCTTAGCAGTAGTACATCTTTGAATTCTGCTATGCTCGTCTGGACCTAGTCCACACACAAGCCATTTCTTGGCCTTGGCATTCTTTTCCCACTTCTTCAAATCTTCAGCAGTACAGTCAACTCTAGTCTTTGGCACATCCTCTGCTTCAGCATTCTTCTTTGTAGTAGCCAGGGGACCATCAGTAACAATGTCCCAAAGTTCATAGTCTTCTCCTATGATGTGGTCTCTCATCCTGTTCTTCCACCAGAAATAGTACTGGCCATTAAAGAGTGGAGGCCTAGTAGTGGATTGTCCTTCCCAGTTTCCAGGGGGTGCACTCATCTTGATCTGTTCCTAAGGTGTTAGCCTCTTCAAGGATAACCTGCTCTGATACCAATTGATGTTTTATACTTCAATACCACACAAGAGGAGGGGGGGAGGGTAATTTGTGTGGTGCCAAATTTTCGCTTAACTTGATTATAGAAGGACCTGGTTCTTCTATGTATTCCAACTACTACTGTTGCGGAATAATAAATACACAAAATAAAGAACACAGATTTTTACGTGGAAAACACTTGGCTCAGAAGGTGAAAAAAACCACGACCCCTACTTTCCAGTAGGATTTTCCCAAACTCTTCACTAAAATCTCTGAGCCAAAAACTGCATTTACAAAAAACTCTTTTGTAAACCTAGGATTAACTCTAATCCCGTTGTGGCACACAGCCTCAACTGTTGCGACAACTTCAAGTTAACTCTAACTTGAAAACTCTACGTACCTAATACAATTGCTTCTAGATAAAGCTGAAAGGTACAATATTAAAACACCCACTACAATTGAACTAGAATAAAAGATAGACACTAGGAACTGGTTCTTCTATCTTGTTCAAGTAGTTTCTGGTTTGCACGCTTGAATCACACACGAATTGCTTGCAAAATTGCCTCGCTATTTCGCTCTCAATTCACGTTTAACTTCTTCTTGTGTGTGTTACCTGTAAAAGAGAACAACACTAATATTTAAGGAGTTAGCAATTAGAGAATGACTAGGATACAGAAGCTACTCTTCCTTGGTGGAAGAGTTCTAGTTGGTCTCATCCTCTAACTCTATCCATTTCTTAAGCCGTGTTTCTCTTTGTGTAAGGAGTCTTTCTCCTTATCCAATATGCAACCTTTTCGATCATGATCAGGAGATATCACTTCTGATAAGTTAGGTTTATCTCCTTCACATGCATCTCACATGTTTGAGTTGATCATAACTGTGCTTCACAAGATGGACCGGGTCCATGTCTGAGTTCCTTTGCCAGTATTCAAAACTTCACCTTTACTTGGGCCAACAAGGATGAAGTAACAACAAGTGCCTTCTACTATTTGTAAATTTAATGCATTTTTTGCATTGCACCATTAACAATATTTGCTAATGCTTCTGTTGTTTGTACTGTCTTTGGTTTCCACGCTCACATTCCTTCTCACGTTTCTCAAGTAAATAGCCGAAAACATCTCTAAACTATGTGTCAAACCTAAACTGCATCCCAAAATTAACAGGGTACATCCTTCCGTTGGTTTTTGTCAAAGAAATAAGGGCTTTAACATAACATCTCGTTCGGGCATTTTACCAAACAGGTGGTGTTCCAGCAATGTGGTCTTAGACATGGACCTCAAAAAGAGGATATTTCGACAATTGTTGCAAAATCTCATTCAAGGTGTGAACGCACTTATCAGGACAACTTGTGAATAAAGAGAATCAGAATTCAGAATTTCCTTATGCGCTAACTTCCTTTACTGATGACGATCAGGGATAAGATTGGAGGATGAAGAAATAAAAATGGAGGCAGCTGGTGCACAGATGAGCTCTTCTTTTATGAAATTGGTAAAATGGATCTTGTAATTTTCTTTTTGTCTATGTAAAGTGAAACTCTCCAAACCAGACTCAGGAACCAACGAACTGATGTTATGTACTCTATTGCTTATTATTTGCCTGTTATATTTGTATACGGTCAAAATTGGGCTTGCCCCTTTTTATGACTGATCGAGACTGGAACGCGATGAGCCAAAGTTCAGCCTCGTATTATATCCCACCATGATGCAAAGTTAAGTTGCTGAGCTCGTGACCCTGAGACCGATTAAAATCAAGACCAAACAAGATAGAGATCGATGGAAGCTTACCGGGTCGAATAATAGAAAGTCGAAAGATCTACGATAGGTCGAGGATCACGGCGCGGATCCCGACACGTATCAAGAAGAGGCTGATTAATTAGCCAATCATGGGATTTCTTACCTCATATAGAATTGTACTTAGAGTAGGACTCCCCTACTATATAAAGGGGAGTCTGATCATTTGTAAACATGATCATATTCACGTAATACAAAGCAATATACTGTCATTCGCTAGTTATCATTGTCTTTTTGTTCTGTTCTTAAGCCAGCTGATACTTATTTGGTTCAAGGGTGACTAAACTTGAGGGCCAAGGCTGTCCAACTTGTGTGGTTTGCATTTGTTCTTTAGTTGTCTATTTCAATACTAATTTATTCTTCTAACTTTGTATCAAGTTATATCATGTGTCCTTAAAATCATGTATAAATTCAATTGTTATCCGATTTTATGGTAAACAGTTTGGCGCCCACCATGGGGCTAAGGATAATAGTGATTACCTGGCACAAAATTTTGTGACACATACTATTTTACACTTGTTCTTTGAAGTATCTTTAATTACAGGATTAAAAAATGTCAAACTCTCAGTCAGCACCTCAACATATTGACAATGATCTCGGCCACCATGGCGAAAATGAGAACATTGCACCAGGAAATATTGTACCCCCTGTTGTCCTCGACGGAATTCCCGTTGTAGATCCAATCAACATCAGTTCACATGTAGCCATCAATGAAAATCTGGATGCCGATCCAGAAAGTAGTGTCTACGGGGATGCCCGATCAACTACTTAGAGCGCACGTGGTGGTGAAGATGGCAGGATCAGCCTGCGGGTGATCTTCAAAATGTTGCAGGCTCAGCAAGAAGAAATAGCCCAGCTCAAAACCAGAACCACACACCAAGCAGGGTTGAACTCGAGCCATCCCAGGAAATCGTACACAGGGTCGAATCGGTTTGGAGGAAGTCAAACGAGAAGGAATCGGAGACCAATCCTGCTATCATAAAGATGCTCGAAGAACTGACAAAGCGAATTGAGTCAGGGGAAAAGAAGATCGAGAAAAACGATAAGAAGGTGAAAACCTATAACTCCAGGGTCGACCTAATCCCTGGGGCACCACTAATATTGAAAGGATTGGATTCCAAAAAGTTCGTACAAAAACCTTTCCGCTCGAGTGCATCTCCGATGCAAATCCTCAAGAACTTCCGCATGCTCGAGATCACTAAGTATAATGGGAGGACTGATCCAAACGAACACGTCACCTCATACGCGTGTGCTATCAAAGGAAATGACTTGGAAGATGACGCGATCGAATCCGTCTTGCTGGAAATTCGGGGAGACTATCAAAGGGTGCTATGATATGGTATCATAATTTACCGCCTAATTCTATTGACTCATTTGCTATGCTTGCAGATTCTTTTGTAAAGGCAGACGTCGGGGCCATCAAGGTCGAAACCAGGAAGTCGGACCTTTTCAAGGTAAGGCAGACAACGAGTTGCTCAGAGAATTCGTATCTCGGTTCCAAATGGAACAATGGAATTGCCACCGGTCGCCGAGATTGGGCTGTTCAAGCTTTCACTCAAGGTCACAACGTTCAAAGTTCAGTGGCTTCACAATAGTTGAAGAAAAATTTGATCGAATACCCAACTGTCACTTAGGTCGATGTGCACAATCGGTATCAGTCGAAGATCAAGGTCGAGGATGATCAACTAGAGGCTCCTTCTGGGTTTGTTTATCCTATTAGACCCATCGATAGAATCAAGAGGGATATAGACCGAGAACCAAGGTCAAATAGATATCGATATCAACCAAATAATGGAGACCGTAAGAATAGTGGATCTTAGAGAAACTCTACACGAAACAAAAGGAGAAATGATCGAGGTCAAAGTTCATGGGGACTCATGAGTAAAAACGGCTTTGATAGATCTATCAGTCCAAAGAAGCACCACGATTGTCGGAGTACAACTTTAATATGGATGCAGCGGCCATCATATCGGCCATTGGACGCATCAAAGATAACAAGTGGCCTCGACCTTGGAAAACTGATCCAACACAAAGGGATCCCAACCAAATATGCAAATATCATGGCAGACATGGCCACAGGACGGAGGATTGTCGACAATTGAGGGAGGAAGTAGCCCGTTTGTTCAACGACGGTCACCTTCGAGAATTTCAAAGTGACCGAGCTAAGAATCACTTCCGAAATAGGTATTCCAACAAAGAAAACGGACAATATGAATACCAACACGTCATCCATATGATCATCGAAGGGTTCGATGTTCCTCAATGTCCGATGATGAAATGCACCAAAGTGTCAATCACAAGAGAAAAACAAACTCGGGATTACTTACCAGAAGGGACTCTATCCTTCAACGGCGAGGACACAGAAGGAATCATGCAACCTCATAATGATGCACTGGTAATATCTGTACTTATGAATAAAACTAGAGTTAAATGTGTGCTAATTGATCCAGGTAGCTCAGCCAACATCATTCGGTCGAGGGTCGTAGAACAACTCGGCCTGCAAGACCAGATCGTACCTACAACCCGAGTGCTGAATGGATTCAACGTGGCTTGCGAAACTACTAAGGGAGAAATAACATTGTTGGTAAACGTTGCCGGTACCACCCAAGAAACCAAGTTCTATGTAATCGAGGGGGACATGAGATACAACGCCCTGTTTGGGAGACCATGGATCCACAACATGAGGGTCGTACCTTCGACCCTTCACCAGGTATTAAAATTCCCAACACCAGATGGGACAAAGACAGTTTATGGGGAACAACCCACCGCAAAGGAGATGTTTGTCGTCGATGAAGTAGTTCCAATATCAGCACTCTCGTCGACAAAGGACTCAAGTTCGAAAGCGAAACAAGAAGCAAAATAGCAATCATCGATACCAGCTTCGACCCAATCGGACAAGCAAGGGATTGACAAAGATGATGACTTCGGGGTTCCTCAATCTTTTATAGCCCCCGATGATTCCGACGCTACCAAGTCAACGGTCGAAGAACTGGAGCAGGTCGTGCTGATCGAACATCTGCCCGATCGGAAGGTATACCTGGGCACGACATTAACTCCTGAGCTCAGAAAAAAACTCATTCAATTTCTTATAGCTAATATGAATTATTTTTCTTGGTCCCATCTCGATATGACAAGGATCCCACCAGAAATTATTACCATAAACTGAGCGTGGACCCGAAATTCCATCTAGTGAAGCAAAAAAGAAGGCCCCAGTCCGAGGTCAAACACTCTTTCATCAAAGGCGAGGTAACCAAACTTCTCAAAATAGGGTCCATCTGGGAAGTAAAATATCCCGAATGATTAGTTTATGGGATCACAAATAAGGCCTTCACTGCTCTCAAGGCACAACAAAGTCAAGAAAGTCATCTCCATTTAATACCAAAGCACAAGACTTCACTATTCCTAAGAAAAGAAAAGAAACTAACTACACCCAGTACAAGCAAAACCCTTAGAAAAGAACCGCAGCACAAAGAAAAATCAATGTAAAATTATTACACTACATAAGAAAAACAAAATATATTTTTTTCTTCGACTTTGATCCCTTAAGAAGACAGTCGAGGAAATCTATCGTCGAGAAAAGTCAAATTTTTTCAATAAACGAACACAAACATACATGTACATATACATATACATATCCCACCCCACACTTTAAATTATGGCATGTCCTATGACACACAAATAAAAAAGCAAGAGGTAAAGGAAACTTCCCTGATTCATCTAGTCGGGGTTTAAGTCAAAGTCGGGAATGCCTTTGCACGCCCGACCCAGTGCACACATCCATGCTGAGAGCTTCTTTTCGGCCTTCTTTGGGTACACCCCACACTTATCAGTTTCACTCTTTCTAATTTTCTCTTTCAGGGCCCCCTTTCTCCTTCCATCTTGAAGATCAGCCTTTCATCCCCCACTCTGAGCATGAGCTGCGTTTCCTAAATATCAAGAATTGCTCTACCCGTATCCAAAAAAGGTCTTCTTAAAATTAGCAGGACCTCCCTATTCTCCTCAATGTTCACCACAATGAAGTCCACAGGGAACACAAATTTGTCCACCCGAACTAGCACATCTTCCACTATTCCTTCCGGTATGATTATGGTCTGATCCGCCAGCTGCAAGGACACAGGTACTGACAATCTGTCCCTTAAATTTCCTGAAAATAGACAAAGGCATAAGATTAATAGAAGCACCTAAATCACACAAAGAGTTTTGAAACTTAGTACCCCCTAAAGACCAAGGTATAGTAAAACTCCCTGGATGTCCACATTTTTAGGGAGTTTATTTTACAAAATGGCACTACAATGCCCTGTCAGCTTGACAACCGATGTCTCTTCCACTTTCCGCTTCTTGATAATATCTCCTTCAAGAATTTAGCGTAAGATGGCATCTGCGAAAGCACCTATGTGAAAGGTATATTCACATGCACCTGCTTGAGCACTTCTAAAAAGCGCTCAAATTGTTTATCCAACTTCTCTCTTCTTTGCTTCTAGGGGAAAGGTAGAGCAGGCATGTATTTGCTCTCTTCAATATCATTATTCATTGAAATTCCATCTTCTTTCTTCTTCTAAGCTCTATTCTTCCCCCTCTTCTTCAGACCATCATCTACCATCACTTCATCTTCTTGAATGTTGCTATTTTTTGCTCCTCCACATTCTCTACATGTCCTTCAGTACACTCATACCTTTATTTTGCCCCGTGATCCTCCAATACGTGCCTACTCATCAAAGACACTGCATTTATTACCTCTTTTGGATTTCTTTCAGTATCAGCAGGGAGAGTTCCTGGAACCCTCTCAGACAATAGATTAGCTAGTTGCCCAACCTGTCTTTCCAAGTTTAGAAACGTTGTGCCTGATTCTTCGATAAGAGTGCCATTTTCTCGTATAACTGAGCCATGGGTTTCAAGCCTCTCATATATCTTAAAAATAAAGGCCTTCATTAGATCTTCCATGCTAGACTTATTAGACTGTGGAGGCTGATATTTCAGCCTCTGCTAATTTTGAAAACCTGTAGCTCCCTGTCCCTGGGGTCTAAAGTTATTCTGCTGCCATGAGTTCAGGCTACCACTTGGTAAACTCCAAGAAAAGCCTGGGTGCCTTTGTCTTATAGAGTTAAAATTATTACCACTCTGGTAGTTGTCTCTCTCAAAGCTTCCAATAATATTTACCACTTCATCTGCAGTTGAGGCCTGAAACTCATGCATGGGATAACCCATTCCACAGAAATCATAAATTGGTGAAGGTTGGCGCTAGACCTTGGATAAGGTCAAATTTCTTATCTCTTTGGCCATGGCGTCTAGCTGGGCTTGCACTGATGTGCTAGAATCTACTTCATGAACCCCAGCTAATTTTCTTCTATCATTACTCTCAGCAGGCCACTAGTTAACATCTTCAGAAAGCTCATCAAGAATTGCCACAATCTCCTCGGGAGTCTTCTTCATTAAAGGACCCCCAACTGTAGTGTTCAGAGTTCGTCATGAGGGAGGTGTCAGTCCATCCCAAAAGTCCTGGAGTTGCATCTACAATTTAATACCATTATGTTGACACTTCCTCACTATCTCCTTGAACCTTTCCCACGCCATAAAGATTGTTTCAGTGTCCGTCTGGCAAAAGTTGTGAATTTCCCTTCTGAACTTCACTGTATTTGCAGCTGAGAAGTATTTATCAAGAAACTTGCTAGTCATATCTTCACATGTCCTGATCGAACCTGTTGGTAAGATACAAAGTAGTGCTTCGCATCCTTTAGTGAAAAGGGGAATGCCCTTAAATATACTACATATTTTGATACTTCGTTGTACTGGAAGGTGTTCATGATTTCCTCAAAATCCATCAAGTGCGTGTTAGGATCTTCATTCACCTTCCCTATGAAGACACAATTGTTCTGGATAGTTTGAATCAAGCCTTGCTTCAACTCAAAGTTATTTGTTGTTACTGGTGGAGGTCTGACACAGGACAGTCCCTGATTGTAGACTGGTCTGGCATAATCACCTAATGCTCTACTAGGCATAGGTACCGCATTCTCGAACCGTTCTTCAATCAAAGGTCGATTTAGATTGAATCTTCGACCCCCATCATCTTTGACGGTCTCCTCAATAGCTCTACGGGCTGCCTCAGCTACTATCCTTGCAGCTTCTTCTCTATGTTGTGCTGCCTCTCTTGCAGCTAGATTTACCTCGACATCACCGTTATTAGCCATGTGTTCTTGGGGTTTAAAGTTGCCTCAAGAACTTTCCGGTGAGCTCTTACTCTTTCCTCAGTTGTCGCAGGTGTTTTTCCAACTTCGATTTGTAGGGTATTACTTATTTTGAAGAAGATCGAGTCATACACCACGAACATAATATGTTGTCTTCACATGGAAGAGAAACCCGTAAAGGAAAATATAAAATAAATTCCTGAATTAGCACCAAAAGCTATTTTGAACACTATTGATTACCAATCCCCGGCAATGGCGCAAAAATTTGACCAGGATAAAACATAATACAAAATTATTGCTTGCTAGCCAATGATTGTATAGTAAAATATCGTGTCCACAAGGATTGGATTCAAATAATGTTTGAATAATTTCTAATTTAATTGCTATTCAGGAGGATCAACACTTGAGTTAAATGATTATGAACTGTGTTTAACTACTAAAAGAAAAACAATTGACTACAAAGAACTAGAGATTAGCAGAGTTGGTTTCTTATAAATGTGAGGAATAAGGGTTTTGAAATGATAAGTGCAAGGTTGTTATTCTGGATATGATACTGTTATATTTCACTCTTGAGGTTCTATCAATTCTCACGAATTCAATAGGTGATTAGCTTATGTTTCCTATTCGGACTCCTCTCTCGATTAAATCTAAATTTTTCAAATAAACTAATGTGAGGTGTGGTAAAACTTGCAAGAATCTATTGGTAAGAATGTGGTCTAAGAGAAACTTCTCTCAAATATTTCTCAATCTTAATTTAAGGGGTAGATCACAAAGCTCTTTCGATTACTTTAAATAAGTACTAAAATAAATTAAGGCACAACAATATTCAATATTGTGCTCCTCTTCCGATTAAACAAGATAATGAATAAACTCACAACTAGAGTTAAAGCTCTTCCAATAGATTCAAGCAATTAAGCAGTAATCAAATCCATAAACAATAACTAAATCACCAAATCATGTCAAACCCTAAGGTAAACTACTTCATAATTATGGAGGAAATCATCACAAAAAGAGTTAAAGAATAAGAAAGCATCAATCTAACTTTACAATCCAAACTCTCGTATTGAATTGATGAAAAGATGATGAAATCCTGAGTCTTGTAGCCTCCTATGCTCTCCTAAAGCTTCCAAGGTCAAAAGTCCCTTCAAAAACGTCTTTTTGGTATATTTATACCTTGTAGGAGTGGACCCAGGCAAAATTACCTTTTCCAAGCCGAAACAGGAAAGTACTCTGAGAAAATCACACAGGCGTCCGCCCCATGCGCCGCTCCATGCGAGGCATTAGTGGGGAAGTCTAGAGAGTAATTTCTGATGGAGCAGCAGAAAGTTCCACTGCCGCGCTGCCCCACGCGCTGCAGCAGTGGACTGTTTACAGAGTAACTTGTTTTCTTTACGTTTTGACATCCAGACATGGCTCCCGACCTCCGAACGCGATCCTGGTTTAATCTATTGGAATTTTACTCAGACATCAAAGCTCCAACTTGTTCAATTCAGCTCTCGAATATCTTTTTAACTCGAATTCACTTCCTCCATGGCATACAACACATAATAAGTGTAGTACACTAATATTTAAGCTCAAATACAACTAAAATACAGTAATTAGAGTGCAAACTATGACTAAGACACGTGATTATAGCCTACCATCAGTTATCACCACCATTATAACAAAAAAGGAAAGAAAG